CCTCCCACCACTTTCCTCTTTCCCCCAGGTCTGAGGGGCATGGGTCTGGGCGCCATTACTCTCGACTGGGCAACCATGTCGGCCTTCCTCTCCTCGCCCCTCGCCGCGCCCTGGTTTGCCATTCTCAACGTGGGAATCGGCTTCGCTGTGTTCCTCTACATCCTTATCCCCATCTGCTACTGGGGCAACGTTTTTGCCGCCAAGCGCTTTCCTTTCCTCTCCTCGGGCACCTACCAGTGGTCCGGAGATCTATACCCTGTGCAGGTGAGTACCATACCGTACCGTACAGTACCGCTCTGTTGTTCCTCTACATCCTCATCCCCATCTGCTACTGGGGCAACGTTTTTGCTGCCAAGCGCTTCCCGTTTCTCTCCTCGGGCACCTACCAGTGGTCAGGAGAACTATACCCCATGCAGGTGAGTACCGTACCGTACAGTATCACTCTGTTGTTCCTCTACATCCTCATCCCCATCTGCTACTGGGGCAACGTCTTTCCCGCCAAGCGCTTCTCCTTCCTCTCCTCGGGCACCTTCCAGTGGTCCGGAGATCTATATCCAGTGCAGGTGAGTACCGTACCGTACCGTACCATACCGTACCGTACTGCTGTGTTGCTCTTTTGACCCTGTTTTATTCTATTGCTAAGATTTGGGTTCTGAGATTTACTTGCATGGTCCGGAGATCTATACCCGGTGCAGGCGAGTACCGTACCGCTGATGTTCTTTTGCTTAAGCCTAGACCGCACAACTTCTCCTCTCTTATAATCATGACTGAGCTGATCTTCTCTCGTGGTCGGGGGATCAATTCCTGGTGCAGGCAATAATCACGCCGGATTACCGGTTGAATGAGACCATGTACACGGAGCAGAACCTGGCGCCGTACATCTCGGTGTTCTTCGCGCTGTGCTACGGGCTGGGGTTTGCGGCGTTGACTGCCACGGTGGTGCACGTGGCGCTGTGGTATGGGCCGGAGATTTACCAGCGGACGGTTAGTGCCGGTAGGTAAAGGGCTGGGACCTGGGTGGGTGGGTGGGTGGGTGGGTGGGTGGGTGGGTGGGTGGGTGGGTGGGTGGGTGGTGGGTGGGTGGGTGCGTGGGTGGGTGGGTGGGTGGGTGCGTGGGTGGTGGTAGAGTTATCAGTCTCAAAAGTTGTCATGGACGGACATGGATTTGTGGTATGGGCTGCAGATTTACCAGCGGGAAATGAGTGCTGAAGGGCTGGCTGGGCTAGTGGAGGTGGCACGGATGGAGCTCAACCACCCGCCCAAAACATAACGGACGCGCAGACACTGTGGCATACCCTAATGCACACACATACAAGCGCACGCATGCATATCCCCTTCACATGCACAGCACACTCACACTCGCACAAACACACATGCATGCAGATGCCTTTTTAAAGGTTCTATCTAGTGTTGTGCCAAACCGCAAGACTCACCACATTCCGCCCCATCCTCTTCCCCCTCTTTTCTCTCAACCTCGAAGGTCAACCCTGACCTAAACACGCAGCTCATGCAGCTGTGAGTCACCTCACTCAAACATTTCGTGTGTTCTCTGTTTTCGGCGGATGAGAGAGCGAGAGAGGGAAGGCCTTAGCACTCAGCCCTCTTCCACTGCCCTCTGCCCTCTTCCTCTGAGCCTATTCAAGGGCCCTCGGTGCCTTCTCCTCCTCATTATTGCAGCCACGGAGACCAAGCCAGACGTGCACACGTGGCTCATGAGGCGCTACCCCAAGGTGCCCTGGTGGTGGTTCCTGCTGCTCTTTCAGCTGTGCTGTGTGCCCACCTCCCCTCCTCCCCCCTAACCCCAACCTCCTCCTCCCCCTTCCTTCCCTTCCCTCCTCCCCTAACCCCCCATCCACCCCTCAACCCCCTCTCAGCCACTGAAATCAAGCCAGACGTGCACACACGTCTCATGCGCCGCTACCCCAAGGTGCCCTGGTGGTGGTTTCTCCTTCTCCTCCTCGCCAACATCGCTGTCTGCATCGCTTTCCTCGAACTCAACTCCTACTTCCAGCTGCCCTGGTGGGGCCTGCTGCTCTCCGCTGCCCTCTCCCTCTTCTTCACCCTCCCCATCGGCATAGTCACCGCAACGACCAATCAGCAGCCGGGGCTCAATATAATCACGGAGATGATCTGGGGGTATATTCGCCCTGGGGAGCCAATAGGGAACGTGTGTTTCAAGACGTATGGGTACATCAGTATGACGCAGGCGATAGCCTTCTTGCAAGATTTCAAGCTCGGGCATTACATGAAGGTCAGTTAATCCTTGATGGTTCTTTGTTTTTTTATTTCTTGGAGCAGATAGGACACAGGGTGAAGGTTTGCAGGTCCCCCCCACTTTGCCACCGTTTTGCTTCCTTGATGGTTCTGCACATAGCTGTGGGTTTCTCGCAAGTCAAAACTCTGCCACTCTGCCCGCTGTCTGCGTGTGCATGCGTGCTTGCAGATCCCCCCACAGGCCATGTTTGTGGTGCAGGTGTTTGCCACGCTCCTGGCCTGAACAAGGCTTCCTCTAATCTACCGTCTCCCACTCTGCTCACGTTTTGCGTGTGCTTGTGTGCAGATCCCCCCGCAAGCCATGTTTGTCGTGCAGGTGTTTGCCACGCTCCTGGCGGGCCTTGTCAATCTCGGCACGTCCTGGTGGCTCTATGACACAGTGGAGAATGGGCTCATTTGCAAGGTGGGAAAACACTGTCGTGCCTGGCTGGCCCCGTTCCTTGATCGCTTTTGAAAGTCCTGGTGGTTCTTCGACACTGTAGAGAACGGGCTTATCTGCAAGGTGGGAAGTCACTGCCCTGCCTGGCCCGCACCTTCTTGCCTCCGTGGTCCCTTCTAAGTCGCCTTGAAAGCCCTGCTGCATCTATGACACAGTGGAGAACGGGCTTATCTGCAAGGTGGGAAGGAAGAATTAACCCTCTTGCCTGCTCCCTCTGTTGATCATATTTGAGTCAACTCATAAGTCCTGATGGCTCTAAGACACCGTTGAGAATGGGCTCATTTGCAAAGTGGGAGGGCAACAACTTATCAGGCGCCTCAAAACAGAAGCCCTGTCTTGTTTTGAGGCGCCTCAAAAGCTGTGAACGAATTGACGGGTATGAAACAGTGGCTGGGCAGCATGATCAAGCATGGGCTCGTCTGCAAGGTGGAAAAAGAGGAACTTCCTTGCCTTTCTCCACCTTTGCATGCCATGCGACATCCCATGCACTCTCTACCACCCTCTCTTCCAATCAGTCTTTTACTCAACGCCCATCATCTGGAGACACATCGACGTCAAGCACATGTTGTGTTCCTTGTCGCACATGACCAATTTCCGTCTGAATGCAATCCCTTCCTTTCCCTGCACTCCCCCTCTTCGCTCCTCCCTCGTCCCCGTGCTCCCATCCCTGCTCCTCTCCCCCCAATCAGATCAATGACGAGAATTTCCCGGAGAACTCCCCATGGACGTGCTTCACAGCCAATGTGTTTTATTCCGCATCAATCATCTGGGGGCTGATTTGTCCCGAGAACATGTCTGGCCCCCCTTGCTCCTCCCCCCAACCAGATCAACGATGAGAACTTTCCAGAGAACTCCCCATGGACGTGCCCTACCGCCAACGTCTTCTATTCCGCATCAATCATCTGGGGGCTGATCGGTCCGGAGCGCATGTTTGGCCCCACGGCCTTTTACAACAACCTCAACTGGTGGTTCCTCGGAGGGGCACTCGCTCCCATCCCCTTCTGGGCCGCACACAAGATGTGGCCGCGCCAGGTGGTAAGTTGACTAACAAACTGTTAGTCGGTTCAGGCAGCCAGTGAGTTGGCAAAGGTTGATGGTTCCTTGGTGGAGCCTGTCATGTTTATTTCCTGCTGGATGATGCGCAAGCTTGCCTGACAGGTATAGAGTTGATAAGCTTTTGACACATTTTGGAATGATGCGGGTTGAGGGTTTATGCACATGGTGACAACGGATGCTTCAAATGGTTTCTTGTGCCCCGCATGTGCTTGCCTTGTCTTAAAAGGTTCACGCGGCTTGTGTCCCGCTGCAGTTGTGGGTTTGACGATTACCTTGATTTCTTAGGTCTCATTTGTGCCTTGCTATGCATCTCCTTCACTTGATTCGTGTCCCGCTCCCATCTCGCTTGCAGTGGTTGACCAAGGTGCATATCCCAGTCATGCTCACTGGTGTGGGCATGATGCCACCAGCCACGCCCATCAACTTCCTGGGCTGGCTCACCATGGGCTTTATCTTCAACAAGCTTATCTTCGATTACCGAAAGGTAACCGGCCTTCTGTTGGTCTGCTTCCCAGCAGTTTTAGCAATGCTTTCTGCAAACTATAGGTATTCCCATGGCCAGCTCCGCGCATTTACCATACTTCACATGGAACGGTTCTGTTTATTTGTCATGGTATCTTTTCCAGGACTGGTGGCGTCGCTACAACTATGTGCTGTCTGCAGCACTTGATTCAGGAGTCATGTTCATGGCACTTTTCATATTCTTTGGGGTTCAGGTTGAAACCCCTTCTGTTTCCCTCTCCTGGTGGGGTGCTGGACTAACATCTTCTGATAACTGTCCGCTGGCCATGTGCCCAACCGATCCCACAGCAGTTACATCAATAAATTCTGCATGTCCAAACTATGTCGGTACATAGCTGATAGATGGATACTTCATAGGCCTGCTTCAATCTTACGGTGTTGAGTTCTCAAACAATATCATGCTATGAATGACACAATTTTCCATCAATGACACCGTGGGTCTCTCTGCTCTGACAAGTAAGGTGTGCCTGCTGAAACATTTCTCGTGAACTCATGCGTTCAGTAATAAGCAATACATTCCAAACACTGCTGCATGTGTCCCCCACATTCCACACGAAATTACTAGATCATGGCTGCTACTTTCTGTATGTGTCCATTCCATTGTTGGTAGGCATCATCTCCCAAGCATCTAATGAAATCACTCCTATAGCTGGTCCAGTGTTGAATAAATATATTTTGTTTGATTTCCCGGTCGGGTAAGCTCTTGCTGTTATGACAGACTTCCCTCCTTGGGCAAAGGACTCCACAATGGAGTTGTCCACCTGAAGTGAAATGAATAAAATAACAAAAAAAAGGTTGCTGCTGGTTGAAGAAAGCATCTCTGCTCGCTTGCTTACCAAAACTCTTAGCAGGAGCCTATCCTCAGATTCTTGCAGCATGAGCTGACTCCCATAAATACTCTTCTCTGCCGTTTCTGACAATGATGACCTGCAACAAGCGTAGTCAGGCAAAGCTAGAGATGTGAAGAAGTTGGCGTTCTTACCTTCTTTGGTCACTGCAAAGTCGGACTTGCCACTGACCCAAAGGTCCACCAATGGCGAGCTCGAAATAGATAGATGTTCTTTCTTCTAAGTTTGAGGAGGCAAGAACATGGACCCCAAACCGGCCAACAACTCTTGAAATATGATTTTTATCCCAACCACAGTCACTTTGAAGCGGACGGTACTCATTGGAAGACATAACGTCGGGAATGGCGAACGCTATCTCCATATCCACCTGCAGCCAAGGCTTGTTAATAATCAAACAATCTTTACGTATTTGGGATTACAGATACCTTAAAATCCCTTCAACAAGTTCCATTACCTGCACGCTTGAAAGGCCGTTGACAAGCTTGTTCATTCCCTCCTTCAGTGTGAGGCCAGCATCATGGAAGTGCCTTCCTCGCAGAAGCTTCAGTTCCTCTACAGGCTCCATTAACAAGTGCTTTCCTGTTAACCTGTCTAGGCTGACAACACGTGGAATGGCTTGGACTGAAGCCCAACCTTTAGATATGTCGTCATTTTGTGAATCAGACTCATTCACCCATCCCCATAGGATACGGCGTTGCGTAGAGGGGTCATAAAAGGTCTTCGATGCATAGAACTTCCCGTAGTCGTATCGCAGCCCATTTTGGACATCGATGTGCGAATCTACTGGAACCCAAGTTTCATTTGCTTGGCTGTAGGTTCCGATGGCATAGTAATCAAGAAAATCGTCATCAAAGGATGCCTTTAAAACGTGACGGCAGACGTCATTTTCAGAGCACGTATCCAGTCCAGCTTTGCCAATCGTGGAAACTGGATATAAATCTGGACACTGCAAGACAAGGAGTGCATTAGATTCAATGAGTAAAGTTCCAGAAACCCACACATCACACTGAGGCCAGAAACACTTACCTCCCACATTCCAGCTCGTCCTGGCGCCGTCGTAACTGTTTGAGGAATCTTCGACCAGTTCAGGAAGTCCTTGCTCTTGTACATGAACACGCAGTCGGTCCCATTTTGCCTTGATCCAACGATCATTCGCCATAGTCCGTCACTTCCTTTCCATGCGGATGGGTCTCTGAAGTCAAATTTGCTAACTCCAGATGGTGGAACGGCTATGGGATTGTAAGGGCTTTTCACCCATGTTGTGAGGTAAGGATCAGATGTGTTTTCTGGGAAAGCCAGGTTTTGTAGCTGCACATTGTCTTTGCTGCTTCCGGTGTACAGAATAGCAGGAGTTCCGTCATCGAGAACCACAGCGGAACCCGACCATGCGCCCATTACGTCATACCACTTGTCAGGACTAATGGCCACTGGCAAGTGGGTCCACTGCTAGCGGGAGCATGTCAGTCAAGGACGACATAACAGGTTAAAAACATGTAAAACCTGCTTCATACCTGGATCAGGTTGCTTGAAACTGCATGACCCCAGCTTATGTTACCCCAAATTGCTCCAAAAGGATTGTACTGGTAGAATAAATGATAGTGTCCCTTGTAGTACATTGGCCCTGAATGACGACATAGTAGTAAAGAAACTGATACGTCACAATAGGTCCCAGTAAAGAAACGCTCACCATTCGGATCTGCAAAGGGAAACGGGGGATTTAGTCAGCAAGGACACCATAAGATACTATATAGCCATTGATCCGCCACTTATATCTACTGACCATTCATCCAGTTCCCTTCCGGCTGAAAATGGAACGCTGTCCGTCTGTTAGGTATGCTGTGTTTTGGTGATTCATGTCTTGCTGATTGATAGAAGCTGATAAATCCACCTACGCAGCCTGCAGTAAATGCGATAAAAACCAGGAAAAATATGCAGCATTTATCTATGCGTTCTTTTCTCTCTGTGTGAAGTAGCGGATGGCGAAGCTCTGGGAGGCTTGCCATTTGCGAAGGGCTGTCGGAAACAGCTCGCAGACTGAGGTAGCTGATAGGCTGTCTCGGTCCGATGGGTGCTGCTGCTGAGGAAGCTAAGGTAAGGCTAAATAGGATTCGAAGTGAGGTGGAAAAGCACACCAGGAGCAAATTGAGGTTGGCGAAAGTCGATATTAGTTGCATTCCGTTATGACATATTCGTTGCGATTACAGCAACGGATGAAATAAACCAGGCAATATCAACGTATTATCTGGCAATATCAAAAACCACAGTAGCATAATGCAATAAACCACATAAACCTATATGTTAAATTAGTGGGAATTATTATTTATAAACCACGTTATGAAAACTCCACTATATGTTTTAAACAAAAATCCCCACGGATTCTTATATCTTCTGAGCTGGGCAGGTCAAAATGACCAAGATTTATTCTATCATGCTAGTTTATAAAACAATTAATGATACAGTTTGCTACTGTATTGTTAAGGGGTAGGTGATATTCTTTAATTGAAGACGGTAATCACTTCAGTGAAATGATTTCAAATTTCAAGTCTTATGATCAACAGACAGTCCCGCTGCTCGTCATTCCCAGTCAGGTCTCTTGGTGTGGCGATGAGTTGTTGATCCTGAGAACCATTCAGCTTTGGTTCCTCTATAGCAATGGATATGAGTGAAGTCCAATCAAGGCTCCTGTCGCAATCAGTTGAGCCGTCTGACAACTCGAGTGATGTTCTCCTCTTTGATTCTTCCAGAAATAGCCGTAAAATCAAGAAGAAAAACCCGACAGTAAAACGGGCTGAGGAGCTGCTAAGAATGTGCAACTTGAAATTCGAGCCGGGCACTTTCGGCGTGGTTTGTTGAGGCGATTATCGCGCGTATCTTCGTGCAGCTTTTTTCTGAACGCAATGGAAGCGAACTACTACCTGAGGAGGATTTTCCGCAGTAGCCGTTCTCCGTTAGCTGATTGCCACAGCTGCGCTTGCCACTGCATGAACAGGCGATTGGTCATTTGTGTGCCGGCATAATCCGTCCCGGTAACCGCGATAATTCCCGTCACGAAAATTTGTGACGCCATTTGAAGAGAGCAGTGTCCGCCTCAGCCGACACTCCAAAGTCCACTCTCAGGCTGTAGTGGCTCTGGCGACCAAAGTGTGGGAGAACCACATGGCTTTGAGCCAACTGAAAAAGCAAATGTTGTCGGTTGCTGAGAGAGTGATCGTCCATATAATCGCTGCACGTCAAACTTTTCTTTTTTTCTCCGCATCGCTCAGGCATTCCCCAACCATCCATTCTCTATTTCATCCTTCCGACAATATCACTCCTTTTCCTCTGCAGGGTGAGGTAGCGAAGGCTGTCATCTGCTTCGACATCGCCTGCCACCTGTACGCACAATAGCTTCCCCTACCCTGAAGCGCAACCTCCCGCAGCAGCTTCGCTTCCTCCATGCAGCCGTCCCTCCTATTCACATCCGCTGCTCCCTATCGCCTACGCCACTCACCCAAGCATGAGCGCACACCCAACTAACTTGGAATGACACCCGCTGTGTACGCACTCTTGACCCACCCACCACTCCGCAATGCACTTGCAGGCCGGCTGACACCACAGAGGATGCTAGAAAGACGTCACCAATTTATGACTTAAGATTCCCTCCATTCTCATGCGGCCTTGGCTGGCTAGGCAGCACGAGGTTTCACAATGGGGTCATGCATCGCTATGCCCCATGCAGCCCTGGCAGCCCATCAGCACAGGGTTTCACGGCGCTGTCATGCATCCCAATGAACCCATACCATCTGACCCTGGCAGGATGGGAAACACGGCAGTGGATGCGCGCAAGGCAGCCAAGTTGAGCGGCATGTCTCCACCTGCGTACGCCCGGGCGCGAGCAGCCATTCAGAACGCTCTAGGCGTCAGGTCAGCACCATTCTGGCATCAATGCCAAAGCTGCAACGCAACACGCGCAGCTAAGTAGCGTGACTCCAGATTTTCCGCGCAAGGCCACCATCCAGGCGTATACCCATAACATGGGCCCGGGCACGAGCAGCCACTCATGACCACCCTATACGTCAGGTACTCACAGTTTCTCGGATGGATTTGAAAACACAGCGCACTGCAGTCTGTCATGCAGCGTGGGCTAGGTGAGCCCATTCCTGCCAGCCCATGCCTGCCTCCAAAGCAAGACCCAGCACAAGCCACAGCAGCGTGACTTCACCAAAGCCACGGGCTCACAGCCATGGCGTTTGTCATGCCACCAGGTCAGTCTCGGGTTGAACCAGGTTACGAAGTTCACGCTTGTGTGCCTATGCCTGTCTCTACGCATGTCTCACCTGCCGTTTTTGCCACGTGCATGTCACCACTTGCCTCTCGTCACGTGCATCTCAGCTGTAATGTTCTGTGTGATGTGCCTGTGCAGGTCGCAGTTGAGCCTATCCCAGTTGGCCCTTCAGTTTGGGTGCATGCGAGTGCTGGAGTCCACTCTGCGCAACCTGCACATGTGAGTCCACTTATCACAACTTGCACATGTGAGTCCACTCATCACAACTTGCACATGTGAGTCCACTCATCACAACTTGCACATGTGAGTCCACTCATCACAACTTGCAATGTGAGGAAGGAGAAAGAGCGGAGGGGAGAAGGGGTGGTTTGAGCCATGGAGAGGGCGTGGGCATGTCAGTGCTTTGTGAGTCACGAGAAGAAGAAGTGCCGCAGTGTGTGTGAGGCATCCACAATAAGGCTGTGGGACCACCACACACTCTTTCACTCTTGCTTCGTTTCTCACTAACTGCCTTCCTCCACCCTGCCCCGTCCCCCTGCCCCTCCCCCCTGCCTACCCCATCCTCCTGCCCGTTCCCCTCTGCCTCCCACCCTCTGCCCAACCGCCGCCATGGACTGTGCATCTCAGCTTCACCGCCCGCTTCACCGCCGCCCTTCCAGAAGCACGGAGGGGCGGCACTGACTTCTCCCGGCCGGCATACATGGCAGCAGCGCTCATGCTCACTGCCACACGCAACCAAGTGCGCCATAGGTGTTGTTCGAGTCAACTCACAACGTTAAATTCAACTCACAACTTCTAAGTCAACTCACATCTTTTAAGTCAACTCACAACTTCTAAGTCAACTCACATCTTCTAAGTCAACTCACAACCTCTAAGTCAACACACAAATTTTTAGTCGACTCAAACTTTCGAATGGATATCTGCATTTGCATGGGCATATGCTTGCGATGTGCATGGCATGCGCGTGGGCATGAGCCTTATGTGCGCATTCATGCATGCATTGGAACATCATGTGTGCATTCATGCATGCATTGGAACATCATGTGTGTGCATGCATGCATGCATGCATTGGAAACATCATGTACAGCTGAAGATGGATATAGACAGGCTGCTGGAAGCCACACGTGTGGGCAAGGACGAGTTTCAGCAGGTACATGCATCTCCCATGCACCATTGCCTTGTGTGTTCAATCAACACCGCTTGTACACTTTAGTGTGCTTTTGTCTGTCCTCTGAGCTCTGTTCATATGGCACTCACAGTCCCTGCACGGTCAACCTGACCTTCATGCAAGCACAGCGTTTGTCGTTACAAATGACTGCGTCACTTCGGCGCCTTTAACATGTATTGTGGCTGATCCGTCCTGTGTTACAATTCTGAGAGGGCCTCTATAATGCATCATGGCACAACCATTGTGTGTTCACTTTGAGATGCCTCTATGGTGCATCACAGCACATCCATCATATGCTCACATCACCCTGTGCACCCCCCCTGCGGCACCAGGTGGTGGCATGCATGGAAACCCACTGCACGGACCTGTTTGGGTCGTCCCACAGCTGCCCTACACCCAGCAAGGCACAGGAGGAGTCTGTGCCACGCCAGCACCCACCAGTCCAGCTTCAGCAGCAGCAGCAGCAGCAGCAGCACCAGCACCAGCACCAGCACCAGCACCAGCACCAGCACCAGCACCAGCACCAGCACCAGCACCAGCACCAGCAGCATCAACAGCAGCAGCACCATCAACAGCAGCAGCCGCATCAACCACTGCAGCAGCGGCAGGATCAGCCGCAGCAGCAACGGCAGTGGCAGCAACAGGAGCAGCAGCGTAATACGATGCATGAGGCTTCAAGTAGGTCATTCGGAGAGCCACCGTGCAACGCTTCACATAATGCAGCAAGAGGTGACGTTGCAGGGAGAGGTGAAGTTGCAGCAAGAGCTGAAGGGACCTGCAGGGCAGCAGAACAGGGTGGATCTCTGCCTGCCAGGCACGCCCAGAAGGTGATTACAGAGCATGCCATGCGTTGCATACGATGCGGTGTATGGTGGTGTATGGTCGTGGTGTATGGTGGTGTATGGTCGTGGTGTATGGTGGCGTATGGCACACAGTGCATCTGGTTTTATGATGTGACAATCTTGGTCGTGCAGCATGTGACATGCTGGTGCATGATGTCGTGCAGCATGTGACATGCTGGTGCATGATGTCATGCAGCATATTATGTGCCGAACAGGTCCTCAATCAATCTCAATGTTCCTCATACCGCACAGGAGTTCAAACATGCTGCTAACGTGGCACACCTGCACCAGCAACCGCAGCACCAGCAGCAGCAGCTGCAGCAGCATGTTGCTGCCGCTGAGGTGGCAGAGCAGCAGCCAAGCCCTACCCCAGCTAACATGGCCCAGCGACAACAGGGGGCTGTCAGCAAGAGCAACAGCAGCACCATTCTGTTGCCCCAAGCCAAGCTCACACTCTTGAAACGACCCTCAGGTATGCAAGGTGTGATTCTCTTCAAACGATTCTGGTCTTATAGTCCCATTACATGTGGCACGCCCCTCTCACGTGCCTCCCCATGGTTCTCATCCCATCAACCATCCTGTGTATGTCTCCCTTTTTGGAACCTCTCTGTGCATGTCCCTTCGTCCACCCAGGCCCTTCAGGCAAGCTGTGTCAGGCGAAGCTGCAATTTAAACGTGTCAAGACCACAGCTGCTTAGGAGGACATGTTAAGGGAGCAGGTTTGTGCCTCAGGGTGTTTTTGGAGACATAATTACACCGTTCCAGGCAAGCTGTGTCAGACTACCGTAAGCCGTCAAGACTGCAGTTGCCTAGGAGGATGTGCTAAAGCACCAGAACCTGGGCCACGGGAGCCTAATTAGAGTAGCCAGGTGCAGATCACAGAAAAGGTTTACTTCAGCAGTATCACTGATAACAGCCCATAGACCCAACAGTTATCACGCTTTATGTAAAATACTTCAGTACAAGCAAAAGATTTTACAGCATACATTATGTTACATATATGAATAGCCCACCGTAACATGAGTCTGCACGAGCAACACCTACATCCGCACTACTTGCGTTTACACCTCCATCTACCCGTCTTTCAGCCCGGCACTGCACATGTAATCATCGCTGCACCTAGCAGTGCGGAACCAATACCTCAGCCACACAACGTCGTTCATGAACGTGGAGTGGGCTGTGCCCAGAACGCCCACAGCAACACACTTCCCCACCACTTGCTTCCACACTGCTTGCTTCTACCCTTCTTTCGGCCCCGCACTGCAGATGTAGTCATCGCTGCACGTTGCAGTGCGGAACCCGTGCCGCAGCCGCACAATGTCATTGGTGAACGTGGAGTGGGCTGTGCCCAGGAAACCAGCACCCAGCGCACACACCAACTTCTCTAGTGTGGCCACGGCTTGAGGAGTGGTCTTGATATTGATGCCCTGGGGGGGAGGGAGCAAGGTGAACTGAGGTTGAATGGAGGGGGAAGATAGCTCTGGGTGAACGTGGAATGGGCTGTGCCCAGAAAGCCAGCACCCAGCGCACACACCAGCTTCTCCAGTGTGGCCACGGCTTGGTTTTGAGTTCGTAAACCAATCAACCATAAAGCCTGCACAGTTTAAAAATGCTTCCAACTCACATTTTCCATAAGCGGTTGTAGCCACGTGCTGCTGTCCTCTTTAGAGAGCAGATGCGCTAGCGTTACAAGCTGCACTGCACTGCTGCTGCCATCTAAAGCCTCAGGACCGCTGCTGATGTTGGCAGGCTGTAGCTCATCCTGCAGTGAAGCCTCATCTCCGCTTGAACCACCAGGCAGCATGCGCCGAGCAATCGCGGGCATCCACCGCTGAGATTGTGGATCCAACGGCTGAGAATCGGGCCCAGATGGCTGGGCAACCGCCTGCAGTGAGCGCGGTGCTTTGTGTGGCCGTGCAACCTCCTCTTGCTGGCCTCCTCTGCTCTGGTGCTCATCTGCAAATCGACTCAACAGTCTTTGCTTTAGTGCATCAGTAGATAGCGGTTCCTGCTCCGCTGCAGCAGCAACAGCAGCAGCAGCAGCGGCAGCAGCCGCCTCGTGTGCCACAGAAACTGGCAGTTCCTGCTCCACTGCAGCAGCAGCTGTAGCCACCACCGCCTTTGGCTGTTGCTGAGGCGCCTCAAGAAGCGTTGCTGCAATGGCTGCCACCTCGTGTGGTCGGGCGTTGGTGGCGAGGAAGACGAGGGGGACGCGGGCTGCGACGGCTGCAGCGCGCATGCACTGCGCTGCCTGGTCGACTGGCAAGGAACAGCCGTCCGTGGGGTGCTGGTAGGAGGGATGGGGGGGGGAGAGAGGGCGTTGGTGGCGAGGAGGACGAGAGGGACATGTGCTGAGATAGCTGCAGTGCGCATACACTGTGCCGCCTGGTCCACCGGGAGGAAACAGCCATCCGATGGGTGCTGGTGAAAGATGTGGGAGAGAGAGCATTAGGGGTGGGAGATAGTAAGAGGGTGGGATAGAGGGTGAGAGAAGGGAGAAAGAGCAAAGCGAGAAAAGGCAGAGTCAGGGACGTGATGGTAGAGATATGGAGGGGATGTGGTGGCGAGGAACATGAGGGGAGCATGTGGTGCGACAGCTGCACCACGCATGCACTGTGCTGCTTGGTCGACTGGGAGGAAACAGCCGTCCGATGGGTGCTGGTGGGAGGGATGAGAGAGGGAGACATATTGACCAGAGCGAGGAATGCCAGATGGGATGGGATGGGATGGGATGCGATGGGGATGGGATGGGGATGGGATGGGATGGGGATGGGATGGGATGGGATGGGATGGGATGGGATGGGATGGGATGGGATGGGATGGGATGGGATGGGATGGGGATGGGATGGGGATGGGATGGGGATGGGATTGGGATGGGATGGGATGATATGGAATGGGACGGGAAGGGACGGGACGGGACGGGAGGAATGGGACGGGAGGGATGGGATGGGACGGGATGGGATGGGATGGGATGGGATGGGATGAAATGGGTTGAAATGGGGTCAAGCCATACCTTCTTCCGGCAGTAGTCTTTAAAGTCGCCCCTCCTGAATTGCACTGCCAGGAACTGGCCGTTGAGAAGATGGTGCTGCACTATGTGCCGCGCTGCTGCTATCAGTGGCTCAGGGGGCTGAGGGAATGGGAGAGGGAGCGAGGGAGCACATGGGGAGAGTGACAAGGAGGAAGAGCGGGAATGGGTCGTTGAGCAGATGGTGCTGCACTATGTAGTGCGCTGTAGCTATCAGCGGCTCAGGGGGCTGATGGAATGGGAGAGGGGAGAAAGAGACAAGGAGGAAGAATGGGAATGGGCAGTTGAGTGAGCAGATGGTGCTGCACTATGTGCCGCGCTGCTGCTATCAGTGGCTCAGGGGGCTGGGGGAATGGGAGAGGGAGAGAGGGAGCACGTGGAGAGAGACAATGAGGAATATGAGCACGAGAATGGGTCATTGAGCAGATGGTGCTGCAATATGTGGTGCGCTGCAGTTATGAGCAGGTTGACTTTTGAGTCGACTCAAAAGTCAACAATGAGGAAGAGCGGGAATGGGTTATTGGGCAGATGGCACTGCACTATGTGGTGCGCTGCAGTAATGAGCAGCTCAGAGGGCTGGGGAAATGGGAGAGGGATATAGGGAACGCGAGTGTGAAAAGAACAAGAGTGGAAATGGAGAGGGGATCTGGAGAGGGGAGAGGGACGGAGGAAAGAGCCAATGATGTGGCAGCTGTCGTTTCTCTATTTATTGAGATCTCGCTTTCACCGACATGGCAATTTCGCACCTGAACAGCATTTTTTCGCGTGCACGATCTCTCATCTGCACAGCACTCTCTCATCTGCACAGCACTCTCTTATCTGGACGAAAATCCCCCATCCAAATAGCGATCTCTCACCCGAATGGTGGGAGATGCGAGGCATGTTTCTCGTGGCACCACCTTCGCGGGCTTGGCCTTCCCCCTCTGCTTGCCCGGTGGTGGGGGCAGCAGGAACGGGAGGTCCATTGGGGAGAGCATGCGGAAGAAGATGGAATCCGTGATGGGTTGCTGTGGTGGGGGGGGGGTGCGGGAGTGGGGAGAAGAGAGCATGGGGAAAGGATTTGTAAGGGGCGAAGGCACCAAGGCAGCAGAAACGGGAGGTCCATGGGGGCGAGCATGCGGAAGAAGATGGAATTCGTGATGGGTTGCTGTGGAAGGGGAGGAAGAAGGGGAGGAAAGGCATGGGGGGAGGGCATGGTGGAAGGAAATAAAAAAGGTGAAGGCACCAAGGGAACAGGGTTGGGAAGTTGATAGGGGCGAGCATGCAGCAGATGAAATCCGTGATGGGTTGCTGGAAGAGGAAGTAGGGGGATGGGGGTTAGGGAGGGAGGAAGAATACGAAATTTAAAGTAGGAATCGGCAGGTGGCATCATGAGGTAGCATTACCAAGTGGCATTAACAGGCACAGTGATCACAGAGAGCAACAGAGGGACACACCTTCTTGAACTCGCCGATCATCAGCACTCCATCCGGCACTCGGCTGTACACCTTGAGGAACGCTGCCAGAACGGTTGAGATGGGTGAGGTTGAGAAGGGTGTGGTCGAGAGAGGCGTGGTTGATAAGGGTGAAGTTGGGATGGGATGGCATGGCATGGCATGGCATGGCATGGGATGGCATGTGTGTTGTATGTTCAAGAGGAAGTGGGAAGCAAGCGGCGGGGTTCGTTCGAGCACAAGAATGCTCTGTGCTCACGTGGATGCATCACATCCCAGAGACCCCTTTGCGAGCATGCTACATCCGATCGATTCATACGCCACCACACAACACCACGCCACACCATAGCATGCTGCGCCAGCATTTTCCAACCCCACCACACCACACCACACCACACCACACCACACCACACCACACCACACCACACCACACCACACCACACCACACCACACCACACCACACCACACCACACGCCACGCCACACCAGACCACAACACACCACACCACACCACACCACACCACACCACACCACACCACTGCACAGGCTGCAGTGTTGCCTGCTTGGCACGCACCAGATCTCCTCTACGCCATCACAGGCACAGCAGGCTAGGCATGGGCATTAGCCCGACCCGACCCGACCCGACCCGTCTAGGCCAACCCGAGGCAATGCTCAAGTCGGGTCGGGTATACCCGACCCCGGGTATTTGGCCCCAGGATGTTGACCAGACCCGCCCAGTACCCCTCGGATATCTCTGACCCGCGGTCGGGTCAGGTATATCCCGAGGTCGCGTTGGGTATACCGGAATACCCTTTTGTTAGTTCTATTATATGTTCGTAACCCTAGCCCTAGGCACTGTTGGAAACAGTGAAACTTAAGCGCTTCAGTCGTGTCGAAACATCGCACCAGAAGTGAAGCAAGCAGTACCGAAGCAAACGCGAGTCAACCCTCGGAGGTTGAGAGGTTGCTGGAGGTTACGCGAAAGTCAAAGGTCAAGCGACCTTTGACCTGACAAATACAACGCGACAGTTAAGGACACACAACTGACTCGTTACAGAGCAGTTGCCCGAGTCGTATTGTATCGAACCGCAACAGCAACAGTAAAAGTAGTTACAACTGCATCCATTCATATTCCTTGTATCAATATATAATCTTGTACTTCTTCAATATAATCAATCTACTTTGCCCTCACATACTAGCGCAAGGTGGTTCACAATCCTTCATTAAGCTTCCGCTGT